TACTTATAGTCGTTTAAGAATAGCTATTAGTTATAAGTATAGCGAGGCTAGGAAGACGGAAGCAGTTTTATATTATTGACAATCAGTTTCGTAAGAAATTAATAACTGGTAGATTCTTCTGTATTGTACAGGCGTAGCTACCCGGGACTCCTAGGACATAAAGTCGGCATAGATGTACATTAAAAAGGATTTTGGATCGAGCTGATGATCGCGTTTGAATTCTAGATCGACGTACCTTTCAGCATTTTTAATTAATTGTTCAGTAGATGTTATTTCAGACATTAAAATAATTAATTAAGTCGATAAAGTAAAATATTAACACTTAAAACTCTGAAATTATGGAAAAGCATATTTAGAAGTACTGGAAGTCGCTCAAAATTGTGTGCGCGCAAATTTTTCACGCAGGACTCGGCGAGCGGGAGCAGGCGGTGAGTGGGAGCAGGCGGATGGGTGGGAGCAGGCGGATGGGTGGGGGCGCTCGAGGCAGCGCCCGGACTCGGAGCGCTCATTCTTCCTCGAGCCGGTCTCCTATACTGGTCTCTTGGAAATACCCCTCATATTCATTTCCAACCTTCTTCAATTTCTATAGTTATTTCTTCTTTACTTTCTGATTTATCTCTTTCCTCATTTCTCCGCTACTTATATAGGCAATTTAGTAAATTTTTTTTATTCAAGCCTATGGAAAGATAATTGTATTTTTAATATCTCGAATTATCAGTATGTTCTAATGTAAAAAATAATTCAGAATTAAATTATACCTCGAGATAATTTTCTGATAATTCGATGTATTTAAAATGTTACCTTTACATAGCCTTGAATGGTAAAAATTAAATGAAAAGAAAATCCCTAACCAGATACATTATTGGTTTCATCTCACTATAGAAAATAATTGGTTCATTTTTATATGCTCATCATTATTTTTATGCCCGAGATTTGTAAGTGCATTTTTGTTTTTGGTAATTTTCCGTAATGCCTTCTTTATCCGTCTAAATCTTATTTATGCTATTAAAACATGAAACAGCGTAACATAGGTGTTTGTCACAGGTAGGCTCTCGGGAAGAAGAAACGTTCGCTGATTCATGTACCAACTTTTTGGATGTATACGATGTAATATAATACAATATTTGTAGATTAATATAATCATATATTTAATGAATCTTAAGTTAACTAGGTGAACCAATAAGCATAGTTGATAATTAAGAAAAAAAGTAAAAGGGCTGAGACGTGAGTTTCGAACTCGAGACTCACAAATTATACTAAATACGCGAGAGCTAGACACCTGGCTAGATTCACTATACGAAAGACCATGGCCGTAGATACCCTAAGGGGGCTCAAGGCCCCCGTCGGGAGACCCATAAGGTCCTGTTGCGGCCACAACTTGGGCCACCAACCACTGAGCAAGCTCAGCGGATGAGGCGGAAGGGCAACCCCCGACACCATGGTCTTAAGTCTAGCTGCACTAACAGGGTGACTACTCTTATATGACTACTTGAATTAATACGCTCGACCCGACCAAAGGGTTAGGAAAAGTAAGACAAATAAAATGAAAAGTGAGAGGGAACAAAGCGAAACGAGAAGAAAGAAATAAAGATAGAAATAAAAAAGTTAGAAGGTAGAAAAATAAGGAATAGTTATAAAAGTAGAGATGAAATAAGGAAAGAGATAAGTAATAAAATAAGGAATGAAGGATAAAGAAATAAATATAGAAAAAGAAAAAGGTTGAAAATGGATATGAGGGGTGTTTCCAAGATACCAGTATAGGAGACTGGCTCGAGGAAGAATGAGCGAACGAGAAGACAGAAGGGAAGATAGAAATAAAGAAGTTAAAAAGTAGAAAAGTAAAGAATAGGGGTATATAAGTAGAGGAGAAATGAGGAAAGAGATAAATCAGAAAGTAAAGAAGAAATAACTATAGATGATCTGCTTTATCGACGGAGGCGATGATCAGTAAATCGTACTTCCAGACTCGCCGCTACGATTTAGCGCCATGCTTTTGGTATCGCCTAAAACCGGAGCATTTTACATCTCCCCACTCATCTCTGGTACATGCCCCGACTGATTCCTGCCACAGAGATGAGTAGGGAGATTGCCAATGAGCCTGTTTTTGGTGGTCTCAATTTTTCTCTGGTTTCGGCGCGCCACCTTAGCGGAGGGCCC